GTAACCAGTGCTCCCTCTCAGCCGTGGAGTCTTGTGAGCAAAAATTCTACTTCGTGAGCTACTGGCATTAACGTTGTGAGTGAGCAGTTTGGCTACTTCATAAATTAGTTTGCTCTGGAGCCATCTTTCCTGAGCTAAGACAAAAATGTGTGAGCCGGAGGCTAAAAAACTGTGAGCTAGTTCACACTAACTCAGCTTAGGTCCTTTTCTTGGGACCCCCCAGTTCCCCTTGGTTATTTTACTGGTTGGGTGGAGACTTGCAAGGGACTGAATCTAGTATATAGAGAGACAATGGTTCTTAAACAAAGCTCAATTTATTCCATTATACACTGAAAATGCCCTGTCTAGTTGTCATCCGCTTCACCTCTGAATAGAGAGTAAGGCTTGGGAGGCAGATTTTAGTAGGCAGGCTAGACGGTACCTTCAGGGTATGGTTGGACTTATTTCCTGTAGATGGGGGGCGGGGAGGAGGTTGAGAGGGGAGAGGCTTGCTCATAACTTCCTTCTACATCCCCACAAGGATGAGGTTTGGACTTTCAAAGCCTCATGTGCAGTTTTTCAGTGCTATGGGGCTGGTTGATTGTAGTGGTTTTATTTGGGAGGTGGCCTGGTGGAAAGTGAGCTAAGTGACCCTCACCTCTTCTAGGTCCTCTGGCAGGAGAGCTATAGGCCCTTAACACTTCCTCCTCGGCCTTCCAGCTCACAGGGTGATGGCCGTGCATGTTTATTCCTTGGTCTTTTTGATTTGGGGAATTCTTCTAGCCTTTTGGGGAGTGAACTTGAGAATGCATTTTTCTATGAACCTGAGGGTTCCTCCTTGAAACGAGTGTATTATAAATGACTGCAAATTATAAAGCTTTGATAAAACGGACAATGGGGTGCGGTCACACGCGTGAGATAAACCGGGGGGGGGGGAAGCGAGGCTATTCCCTCCGGGGGAATTTGACCCGCCGTTGTGTGATACAACAGTCCTTTGAAACTGCGGGGGCAGCCTGCCGCTGTGTGATCAGACACAACTGAGGTTGGGTTGGGTTCCCCCCCCCCAGTTTGTTTCCGATTCGCTTAAATGGGGAATTGATGAATCGCATCTCAGCACTGAGGGCGCCCTTTGGAGTGTGCGATGATGCGCATACTGTGAAAGGGGGGGGGGGAAACAACAGCACAGAGTTGGGATGGTCTGATCAGACCATCCCGACGCCATGAGAATGTGCTGGAGTTGATCACACAGGGGAAAGTCTGTCCATGCCCTGTAGCAACCCATTTGCTACTGGACGTTCCCTGGTGTCTTCTGCGCCGGAGCAAAACGGATTGCTGATGGGTGTGGGGTGCTTCCCAGATGTTTGTGTCTGATCGTACCCTTTAAATCCGCCTGGCATTTGTGCCTATGGCGTGGCTAATTGTGTGTGTGATCGCAACCTATAGAAGTCATCCATAATTGGAAGGGGAAAATCACAGTCAAGTTAGCAGAAGTCTATCAGTGGCTATTAGCCACAAGGTCTAGATAGGAACTCTCAGGCTGGGGCAAGTGATGCACTGTATTCTTGGTGCTTTGGGGGGGGGGCAACAGTGGGAGGGCTTCTAGTGTCCTGGCCCCACTGCTGGAACTCCTGATGGCTCCTGGTATTTTTGGCTACTGTGTGACAGAGGGTTGGACTGGGTGGGCCATTGGCCCGATCCAACATTGGCTTCTCTTATGTTCTTATGTTCTTATATAGGGATGTTTAAAAGATTGTCATGCTAAGAACCAAGGTAAATGAAAATAATGACAATCTTTGTGGGTAAACTAGGAGGAGGGGATAGTAAAAAACCCCAGTGTACTTTTAATTAGTAGTAGCTTACTAACACATTTGATGTTGGAAATACTGACAATCTTCGTGGGTAAACTGGGAAAGGGGGACAGTAAAAAAACCCCCAGTGTGCTTTTAATTAATAGTAGCTTGCTAATGCATTTGATGTTGGAAATGTGGTTATGATGTTTCTTTAAAGAAACTGAAACCTGAATTCATACAGCTTTTGTGTCTGAACACTGAATTGTGTTGCTAGCTATCATGTCTAGCACAGGTAAAAGCACTCTACAGTGGCTTCTGCTTTAACTTCTGCCATCAAAGAAATGTATGTTCTTTCATTTCTCCTCCTATCTTATGTCACTCAAAGGAATACTTTTTACCTGTTTGTGTAAACCATCTTATGGTCTTATTATTTTGTGATATGGTAAATTCACTGTAACCTTTTCTCTGCAAAGAGTAAGCAAGAGCCTTCAGAGGCATGGTTTTTATATTTTCTTTGAAGATTTTGAAGTAGGTGAAACGTCGGGGAGTTTGGAAAGAATGCAAGGGGAATAACTAATGTGTTCTGCGTATATGCCATTTTATCTTTACCCATTGTTCTTTATGGCTGTCTGACTAAAATGCCAAGCTTTAGTGTTTGCTGTTTTCTGGGCTTGGTTTGGTGGTACTGTAGTGTGTTTTTCTGAACCCTTTTCCCCTAGGAAGTGGATTTGAGTTGTTGTGAAAAGGCTGTGAAATGCAGCCTGCCTCTCAGTAATGCTGTATATCTATAAATATTATAAACATGTTCACTGTTAACTGATTTGAGATCCCTGTAATTTTATTTTTGGGTAGTGAAGAGTAGCATGAAGTTGATATGCAAGCGGCAAAAACCCAGCAGGTTTAGAAAAGAGTCTCACTTCAAAGAGTTTGAGGAGTACAGGTCTAAGCCTTAAAAGAGCACCTTGAACTAAAGCAACCAGTGCAAGGCTTGTGATAAAGAACTGCTTGGCAACAGCATCTGAACACCTACTAGAAGTTTGCTTTGTTACTAAATACTATTTGGAACCCCATACGGAAGCCATGCTATTGTTACTTGCTCAGTAGTCATGTAGGCATTTTGTATCCCTTCCAACATCCTCCTACTTTAGGCTTCTCGATGACTTCCTTTTAACATGAACGCAAATGCCCCAAAGGCATCCAGCACGCTTCCATGGCAGAGTGGGGATTTGAACCTGGGTCCAATGGCAAGCCACCTCTTCTCATCTCTTGCCTTGAACATCCCATGGCTGAGATTGCCATGAGTTTTTTCTCTCTCCTAAATCCTCATCTGACACTCTAACCTTTGTGCCACACTCGTGGTTATAGTGCTGTTTGGTTGAAGTTCTTATACTTCCTATGAGCCTTTATGGTATAGCAGGGTCTTGAGCTGTGGCATGGATCCTAAGACTTCCGTATGCTTGCGCTGCACCCTTCTCTATGGCAGAGGTGGTTCTCCACTGCATAGCATGGTCTTTTGGCAGTCAGAGCTCCCCTTCATGCAAGATGGGTGTGTTTTGGTGAGCTGCAAAGGCTCTGCACAGTGGAGGACCACTCCTGCAGCAGAAGAACAAGAGCACAAATGGAAGAAACTCATAAGATCGAGGCTCAAGATATGGGAGGTTCAGGTTCAAATAAGGTTGCTGGTTGACCCTAGCCCATTAACTCTGCTCTCTCAGCCTAACCTACCTCACAGGGCTGTTTAGAGGATAAAGTAGAAGAGGGAGAACAATATACACTGCCCTAAGGTTTTTGGAGGCAGGCCAGATAATGTACTAAATAGTCTGTTTTTGCATCTCTTTTGCATACACATTTTGCTTTTCCTTGAAATGGTAGCCATAGCAAAGGGTCCCAATTCTTAACCTCTAGGGCTAGCCGTCTGCTAATTTTAATGTGAGTTACATTTGGTTTAGAAGACTTTCATTGGATTCTAGTATTTCCTGTATTTCAGGAAGATTTCTACGCTAATTCTGTTCTGCTGCCCTGTGCAGATGGGAGTCCTTCTTAGAGCCCACCCACATTTAGAGCCCATCTACACTGATGGCTATATTTTATTTTCTTTGAGCAATCACAAATGTGCACAAATTTCAGGGATTTACAGCAGCTGTGAGATGTGTATTGCGAACTGTTTTATAAGATCGTTTGTCAACATATACTTCAGATTTGTAGTCTCTTGGGTGCTTGACCAACTTTAGTTTAACTTGTTGTCTTTTTGAAGTCTTGGCTGTCTATATATTTGTTCATGGCAAATGTGGTCCATTCACATCTCATTATCTCTTGGGCAATTAGTTAATTCTTCTTATAGATCTTGCCCACATACCTTGTGGAACTCTTTTGCTAATCTTCTTCAGCATCAAGAACTATGGCTTGAGAGCAGCGTTTGCAAAAGTAATATTTCCTTAAGTATACAGTTTAGATCAAACTTTTATTGAAATAACTCCACGCAGATGGCTTTTTTTGGGTAGTGACTCTGTGTGTTCCAGAAAATGTTTTGTTTTATGTGGGGTGAGGGGAATTGGGGCCAACAGAGGATTTATGTGAGCATCTTTATGGATGGCTGATAAAAGTAGTGTATAGTCTTCCAGATTTCTGTTTGGAGATCATCCAGAATTACAGCTTACTTTATTTTTATGTCAAAAGCCATGAGGATATTTTTCCCGAATGTGCTTTTCCTCTATAAAAGTTCGTGAATAAAAATAATTGATCTCTTTGAACAAACTGATGGAGCCATTATGATTTCACCATTTGAGAAACAGTTGGTGGGTGGGAGGGAAAACAAATGGGAATCTGAAATATAGTTAGAATTTTGCTCAGGTGTTTATGGTCTTTGGTGGTTTCTCATTGATACGTGCTCTGTATGCAGACTCTTGTGTCTAGTTTTTTCTGTGTGCATATGAAAATTGTTCACTCTGTTCATAATAGAGCTATTCCAGGGCATGTTAGGTGGTTGGTGCTGAGAGTTGGTCTGATCCACATGTAGTAAAATGTGCCTATGTAGCTTTGTTGATATTGATTTCTCTGGCCTGAAAATCTACTCTTCAACACAGTTTACCCCTCCTCCTTTTTTGCTAAACAAACCAACAGCCTTAAAACCTAGCCTTAACTAATTACATACTCTTGTTGCTTGAAAATGTTACGTCCAGTGTCCTTCAAATGACTTCTGTTATATATTTCTCTCTCTCTCTTTTTAAACAGTGTGTTACACGGGTTTCAAGATGGAGATGGTGCCTTATCACATCTTGTGGCTTGCACTCCACTGTATATGATCCTAATGAAAAAGTAAGTTCTTCGTGCTAGCTTGTTGCTTATCTCTTGACTGCAGGAAGGTACAAGCAAACCTCTATCCCCAATAGCAAAATCTGAAGATGGCTGGTTCAGAAATCCTTTTATAGATACCTTTCCCCCCCTTTCCAGTTCATCTATTAGCTTTAGAACTTATTTATCTTTTGTTACCTGATTTTGAATACAGTACGTTTTTTTAATTAGAGGAGTGTGGCTGAGGAACCACTGTTTGACTGCTCTTCAGGGGAGTGCTTCCCTGTCTGTTCCAAGCCTGAGTTCTTCTTCTTCTGGCATTTTGGAACTAAACTGTTAACTCTGGCAGGCAAGCACTTTTAATGTTTATATTAGTAACCTACGTTGGAACCATTCATCAATTTACTGGGACAACACTTTTTACCTTTTCCAGTCCTAGCAATCTAAAGTTTAAAATGGGATGCAACTTTTATGTTTTGGGGGCGACGAGAGGTCTCTGAGTTATGGCCCTAAGGTATATTTTTGGGATCCAGGATCGAGTAAATCTTTTGTTAAGCAAAGAATCATGGATGTTGAAAGGCAACATGATTTGAACTTGATAAAGCGATATCTGCCAGGAAGGGCGGGATTAAATAAGGTAACACCAATGGTATATTTACAAAATTTAGACAAACCTGACTATAGAAGAGCATTTATCCTGCTCAGAGCCGATATGCTTCCATCTGCAGTATTAGAAGGTAAATATAAAAGACAGCCTTATGAGGAAAGATTGTGTGTCTGTGGAGAGGGGATAGTAGAAATGAGGGAACAATGTGATGTTCGAATGTAAGATGTACCAAAGTATTAGAGACATTTACAATAACCCCGATTGGTTCTCGGTTTCCTGGGCGAAATGAAAATTTTTACTTAGATAAGTTGCTGGCTGACAAAGAACAGGAAACTACTTTAAACATGGTAACATTTGCCATGTAGGCTATCAGAATCTGGAGACAAGCTATTAGTAGTTAGATAGTGAATATTGTACTTAAATAGAGATTTTAATTATTTAACAATATTTTACTCTTAATATTTTAACATTTGATATTCTTGGTAGTGTTTGTATGAATTTTAATGCTTTACCGGCTGATGTCTTTTTGGTTCTTTTATGTATCTGGTCAGTGACCGTACTAATAAACTACTGTATATTATATTGTATTGTATTGTATTGTATTGTATATTATATAT